CTCGACGCGCACGATCTCCGCAGAGGGTTGCACTTTCGGTTGACGCTGTTCGTCCCGCCCTCCGCCTTTAAGAGAGAATTTATAAAGTGGGGAAATGTTTTTTCATTAGGACATCTCCCGTGCTAGTTTTCCATACTCACACTTGCCTACTCATTGCATGCTTGCGTGCTCAAAGCATGCTTGCGTACCCATCGCTTGTATACTTACACTGCGTGCTTGCCGAGTGTCAGTGTGTATGGTGTCCATGTCGAAGTGTCAGTGTATGTACTGCGAATGTGGTGGAAGTGTCAGTGTCTAAGTGTAAGTGTCGAAGTGTCAGTGTTCAAGGGATTTTCCGGAAGAACCCTTCGCAATGCTTTCGGGAAAAAGAGAGGTGGCCAGGAGGTAGTGAACATGAGTGCTTTTTGGGGTGTTGTGATGCAAGTGATGTAATTGACAGTGAAGAGTCATCAGCATCATGAGGGGCTTAGGAGGCCATGCAAACTGTTTTACTAGGGGTGGGCGTTCACGTCAATGAGAGGAAAGGGAAGGCAAGGGGACGTGAAAAGCGGTTAGAACCCTATACATGAGAGCAGGAAAGAGAACAGATTGCAGTTGCGGGCAAGCTTAGCGTAGTTGCCATGCGGTGGGAGTTCACGTGGATGAGGCAGGAAGGTTCTGACTTCCGGGGGGGGGGGTTGTTGGAACTCACCCTATACTTGAGAGCAGGGAAGATGCGGGCAAGCTTAGCGTAGTCGCCATACTGAAGAGGGTGCTCCTTACGCGGTGGGAGTTTACGTGGATGAGGCAGGAAGGCTCTGACTTGCTCCGGGGGTTGTTGAGGGACAGTCGAGAGAACATATTGCAGCAGGCGAGCGTTGGAGGCGGAAGGTTTTGAGTTGCTTAGGGGCGCCCCTTTTTATCCGTGGCAAGGTCTAGTTGCTGGACCCAAAAGGGCACCCCATATGCATGATGCCATCTGTTGAGGGCGTGCGAGAGAACAGCTTGCAGCGGGCTGAGTTGCCGGCCTACCCCGTTTGCGGTGGAAGGAGTTCACGTCGATGGGAGGAAAGGGGAGACGAGGGGACGTGAAAAGTGTTTAGAATTCACCTTATGCTTGAGAGCAGGAACGAGAACAGATTGCAGTTGCGGGCAAACATAGCACTTGCTCCAAACTACGTCAAAAGGTGAAATGAGAGGAGTATCTACTCACGAGAGCCAGCCGTCAACTCACTTGAAACACAGACCAACGCACCATACCAAACCTTCCCCCCCCGGCTACAGGGGCGCCCTTTTTCACTTCCACAACTCCCCGACATCAAGACGGAAAAAGGCACCCCGTCCCAAACCTCTGTATTCTACTGTCTATTTCCATTCTTTCTCAAGTGACGGCCATATCCGCTTCACCACTTCCGGCTCCTCTTTGTCCACTCTACATATATACATATATGCTCCCTCACGAAAGCCTGCCGATGGCCTCGCCCATACGCCCCCCACAACCATCTTTGCTCACTGATTAGCAACACGCAGCAGGCAGGCGCCCCACTTCCTTAGGGGTGCCCTTTTCACCTCCAAAACGACCCTGAACCGGGACGAAAATGGACACCCAAAGCTATGTATTCTACTTTCTGTTTCTAACCCCTATCAGTGTGGCTGGGATGTCAACTTCACCCCATAAAAGTACCCTTTGCCCAACGTTAGCCAATCACTTCATCTTGCGCGCTCAAGTGGCTGCAATATCAACTTCCCCACTTCCAAATACATCTTTGCTCATTGGTTTGCAACACACAGCAGGCAAGTGCCCCTCACTTCCTTCCAGGTACCCTTTTTCACCTCCAAAACGCCCCTGAACAGGGACGAAAAAGGGCACCCCCCTCCCAACCCTATGTATTCGACTTCCTATTTCTACACCCTATCAAGGGGGCTGCGATGTCAACTTCACCCCATGAAAGTACTCTTTGTCCGATGTTACCCAATCACTTCATTTTGCGCGCCAAGTCTTTGGCCAGGCTTGCCCTGAGGGCGCCCCCTAACCTGGCTTTCGTCTCCTCCCTTGTCAGGTATATTTATATATAATATATATATATATGCGCGTCCCTCCCGATCTATCTGTTCCTGCTTTTCAGCTCTTCTACAATCTTCCTTTTTAAGTTCTTCTAATTACTCTTCTCAGCTACTTTCCTGCTACCTCGACGCGCTTCTATCCTTCCCTGCTTGTCAGCTGCTTTGCTGTACTGGGCTACCCCCTGTGTGCAAGATTTAAGAAGGGAGTCAAAAAGAAATCAACTAAAGAGCTCAAAGGTAAAGCAAACGAAATGAAAATGACTAAAAGGAGATCAATCAAAACACAATGGAATTCAATAGGTAATCAATAAAATCAATCAGAAATGTTAAAGCCGGGAATTCACATTCACACAAAGAGATAAAGAAAAATTGAGAGCGTAGGCGTGATTGCAGGGGATTTCCTTTTTTAAATTACAAAAACAGTGCAGACATTATTATAGGGCAAGGCCATATTATTAAAGATTAGTTTGATATAATTGAACAAGGGATTATACAAGGAAATAGCCACAGAACTCACAAGGTAGTTAACAAAAATGAAAACGGTTTCAAAGGGAATCAACAAGAACCAAATGGAATTCAATAGGTAATCAATAGAAACCACAAGGAGTTTACACAAGGAGTTTTCAAAAAGAGAAGTCACAAATAAACGTAATGAAAATGAAAGGCGCAGACATCATTGCAGGGGACGTTGTGTTTTCAATCATCACACCAGAGCAAAGTCCAGACAACCTTTGAGAGGGTGATATCATGGAACCCAGGGGCTTTTATTGTTAAAGCGAAAAGGGGCAGACATTAATGTGGAGGGCTTTCCGGTTCAAGATTTCTAGTGTACTGGGCCACCCCCCCTTGTGGAATAGTTCCTCACCTCTCAGGTGAGGGTTGTTAGATTCTATGTCAGCTGGCGTCCTCCTCCTCGTCCTCCGTGTCGCCCTCAACCGCGAGCCTCGGCTGGTGGTGTTCCCCGCCGGACCTCAACTGCGAGGGGTTGCGTGACAGTGTTCCCCGTCGGCCTCAACCGCGAGCTCGGGCTGGCAGTGTTCCCCGCAGACCTCAACCGCGAGTTCCGCGTGCATGTTCCCCGCCGGACCTCAACCACGAGCTTCGGCTGGCAGTGTTCCCCGTCGGACCTCAACTGCGAGCTTCGGCTGGCAGTGTTCTGAACCTCGACTGCGAGGGTTGTGTGACAGTGTTCCCCGCCAGACCTCAACCGCGAGGGTCGCGTGGCAGTGACCAGTGACCAGTGTTCCCTGCGCGAGCTTCGGCTGGCAGTGTTCCGTCGGACCCAACCGCGAGCTTCGGCTGGCAGTGTTCCCGCCGGACCTCAACCGCGAGTCGGAAGATATTTGCAAGATAGAACTCCAGAAAGAATGTCAGAAGATATGCCAGGTAGAATGTCAGAAGAAAGAACGTAAGACTTGCCAGAAAGAATGTCAGAAGATGCGCGAGAAAGAATGCCGGAAAGAGTGTAAGAAGATATACCAGATAGAATGCCAGAATGAATGTCAGAAAAGAATGTCAGAAGATACGCAAGAAAGAATGTCAGAAGATATGCCAGAAAGAATGCCAGAAGATTGCAAAAGAGAATGTCAGAAGATACGCCAGAAAGAATGTCAGAAGATTTGCCAGAAAGAATGTCAGAAGATATGCGAGAAAGAATGTCAGAAGCCAGAAAGAATGCCAGAAAAGATGCAAGAAAGAATGTCAGAAGATATGCCAGATAGAATGTCAGAAGGTATGATACCAGAAAACATGTCAGACGAGATGCCAGAAAGAATGTCAGAAGATATGCCGGAAATAGTGTCAGAAAGAATGTCCGATGAAAGAGTGTCAGAAGGTATGCCAGAAAGACAGTCAGAAAATATGCAAAGAATGTCAGAAACCATTTCGGAAGATATGTCAGAAAGAATTCCAAGAAATGTTTCAATACACGCCAGAAACTTGTCAGATTGAAAGGTCATGGTGTGGATCATTCGAAGTAAAATAGATTTCATTTTTTGTGATCGTTTGATAAGGTATAACAAGAGAAAAACAGACTTGTTTAAATATTTAAAAAGGAAACAGGAGGACAGGAATTCAATAGCTAACCACTGGAAACAAAAGGGGCATTTTAAAAATGGGTTTCGCAAATAATGATAAAAAGAAAAACACGTAGACGTGATTGCCAAACAGGGTGCATGGCGGGTCCACATAGATAAATAGAGAATATACAAAACTATATTTTAGTATATATGGTTTTCTAGGTTGGAGGCCATCGCTGTTAGTTTGGAGGGCAGAGCGGCCTAGAAAAGATATACGCAAACAAGTACATGTAGTATCATAAGCGTGAGTTATGAAGAGAGCAGGTGCAGTTCGGAGTCTAGAGGTGAATTGTTCGGTGAAATGAACTGTCAAAGCCAAAATGTTTCGGCGGGCGCGTTGAAGAGCATTTCAAAGTGCTTTGATAAGAGAAGGCTTTTGATATTATTTCTCTAGAAACACAAAAGACGCAGGACATCTTCCACCACATAGACATCAATGGCGCCAGAAGCTTGGAGAATTTGACCAACTGAGGCAAACTGCGAAGTGACAATAACTCAAACGAAGACCTAAGTTGATTACAGAAAGAGGACTAAAGACAATCCTTTTCTTGCGGGGTAGGCTATTGGTTAGGCCAGGAGGCTTCCACTGCCTGCAAGACCCCAGGGCCAGTCATGTTGCTTGCTAGCAGGCTTGGGTTTTTAGCATAGTAAAGACCAAGCCAGGTTAAATGAGTAGAAAAGTACATAGAAATTCTTGTGTTTGTCAAAAGGATTCTGAGCCAAAGCTGTCTGGCAAATGTGAGGACCATTCACTGAGCCGACCTGAGATCAAGCATGCGCTTCACAGGCCGGTGAGAGAGAAGACTCCAAAAAGTGGACGCGTGTGCTTTGCAGACACCACTTCTTCACATTTGCCTCACAGTCAACTTTTGTTGTTGTTGCTGTTGTTGTTGAATTTGACAGAGTGGGCTAGTTGACCAGGGTATTGCCCAGCCTTTCTGACTCTGAAGTCATTACGATCTTCGATGCTCCTTGGAAGCAAGCTTGCAAAAGAACGCTCTTGCGTTTGCCCGAAGATATTTGATGGGCGAGCGACCCTGATTAGACCCTGATTAGATTTTGTTTCGTAGTTATTCGCGCGGTTTTGTCCAAGCGTAGGTCGCTGGAACTTGACAGTCAATGAGGTTGCGCTGCGACCTTTTGCTTGGCTTTCTGCATAGGGTAGGGCTCAAGGATCTTAGCCACGCGAACAGGAGCGCATCGCGGCCCTTGACTTAAGCAGCCCCTTTTGTTCTTAACCCCGCATAAATTTGCAATTTGCGCATGTTGGTGGAGTTGCTGGCGACAATAAGTGAAGAGGTCCAGGCGTGGGTCGGAGATCTTTCTAGCTCTCAAGCAAATCGCTAGGCGCAGCCTGAAGGATTCAGAGTGCGTTGGCGCCACCAACCTCCATTGGCTGATGCCGCCGCAAGTGTTGTGAGCTCCCAAGCCGACTTTGCAACGAGGACGGGCCTGGCGAAGCGCGCGGTGTGCTTTTGGCAGAAGCTCCAAACTTCCGGCTCCTTCACTTGGGTGGAGAAGTGGTCAGGGCAAAAGACGGCTCCCCAGCTTCTAGTTCGAGAAGAATAAAAGTTGTGGCGTGCCAAGGAGCGCGCCAGGAACGCTCGAAGTGGCCTATGAAGGACATAGGCCCAGCCTGCGCCAACGGCGCGATTTCCGAAAGGAGATCCCAGAAGCGGGGGTGGCCTGTGCCTGCCACGAAATCTGCACTTTGAGGTTTACAAACTGTTACGCCTGCCAGGTACCTGGCCGGCGCATCATGATTCACACTGTGCAGCCGTGCCAGTCCGTTTCGCAACAGAAGCGCCGTAAGTTCGAGATGCCAAAGCCGAGTTTTCGTGCGATTCGTTTTCCAAATAGCGGCGAAAGTGAACTACATGTTCACAGTTCAGGATGCACTGAACGATATTTCACCCCCGAATTCCAGGTAGTGAATCCTGCGTGTGGTTCACAAAGACCTGCCACGAAATCAGCTCGCCGCCTGCCACGACGATGCGCATCAAAATGTAACCGCCTCGATCTCCTTCGCCTGCCACGAACAGGACGACTTTCATGACCACCAAAACAACCACGAGGATTTCCTGGTGCGCGCCACGGAAAGTGACCACCAAGTCCGAAAACGCTTTTGGCGCTACAATGAGAGGGCGGTCCAGGAAAGCACCGGCTCGGGACCACCATTTTGTGTGGGCCTGCGCAATCGAAATGCACTTAGGATTTTCTGTTGTAAAGCTCCTCAAAATTTGCTGCCGACGGATGGGGCCCCGCTATTGGTTCACGGCTAATCAAACTCCGGAACTTAACTGTCATGTGAGACGCCCAGGTGTGAGCAGACGTTGTGGATAAAAACAATCCCAGAACTTTTGACGAATGCTTTTGCCATGCTTCCGGGCTGTGTCAATACTTTGCACCTTTCCATTTTCGCAAAAGGAACGAAATGGGCAAAGACAATGAATGTTTGCGTGGGCTATGTGCAGCATGTAGCGTGACGAGGGAGGTGTATATACATTCATGCATCATGTAAATGTATGCTTCCTGGTGTGCCCAAATCATCAGCCCCGCTGTTACACTGATCCAGGTCATTGATGAAGATCGTAGTGGAGCAGTGTTTCTGGCTGTTTGGATTACATGAAACGCAATCCGATCGTTTGGCAAGATGCCAGGTGAGTGTCCAGGAGTTCATTTCTGCAATGGATTCTGGGAGGTTTGTTTCATTTGTTTCATACTGTGATGATTTGCAACTACAGCACAAGTGTGGCTTCGCAGGTCTGCCAAATTTACCAAAGAATCAATTGGGAGGCATCGCAACCCGCTTGGGCCTGAGCAACTTTCAAATATCAGGAAATGTATTCTATGGATTATTTCCCTGGCCCAGCAAAACTCCCAAACGCTGAGTAGATCATTTTCGCTTCAAACCACTGGCTTGGGGACTCCTGACAGACAGGATTGACCCTGCAAGCTATTGATGCTTCCCACACTTTGCCACTATGTGCTAGCAGATTTGGCAGGACGCATCGTATGAAGCGCTTTCCACCTGCCTGTCCAGATGGCTGGGAACACTTGAAAGATGCTGATACAGTCGGGATCTTGACTCCGAGTAGTACATTGACATCTATATATATAACATTCAATGGATTTTGCAGCCAGCTGAGGTGCAGGGAACACGGTACGAAAGAGTCGGGACGGGCAGAAGCTTCTTGGACATGTGCGAACAGGCAGCGTGAGAAGTATGGTGAACTTGCAAATTTGACTCCGCAGCTTGATGTGAGGAGACTTCTGATTGCTTGGAAAGACTTTCCAACACGTGCCTCTCCTAGGCGGACTGAGTGGAAATCTCCATGTCTTGGATGCACTTCTGAGGCTTATCAACACTCCCAGAGCTCTGCGGCACCATGCACACACTCCTAGGTATCACTACTTCGGGTTTTTCTGGCATAGTTCAAGGAGCGAAGTGCCCAACAACTCTGCATGAGTTTACAAGAAGTGTTTCAATTTGCAAAGAATTTGTTCTTTTCATTTATATAAGTCTTTAAGGTCCTGAACATCTCTATGTTTTGCAACATTTGCCATGCCAGGGGTGGTGCCGATACTGATCGTTTTCATAAGCATGCAAAGACCTTGCCTTGGTGCTCTCACAGTCTTTTGGAGTCAAGAGTGAATGTATATATATATAGATCTGTTGAAATCAGGCTGGGAATGCATGGAACGCCCGCCAGTCCTCGAGAGGCACTTCAATCCACAAAAAGGACATTCGCAGGGTGGTAAGTTGATCCTTTGCCTGTGGGAGTGTGGAGGTCTCCTCTGAATCTTTGTGTGCTGATACCAGAGCTGGATGCCGTGTTATCTTTTCAGCTGGTATTTCCTATGCTTGTTCTGCAGTTGGGACGGTTTTGCTGGTACTTGGGGTGTATTTGCCAGCCCAGCCTGTCCGCATGACGGGCAACGGCCATTATTGACATCTTCCCACTTGTAGTCCAGGCCTTGCTTGTTCGTCATTTCGTTGTACTGGTTAGCAGCAGAGGACATCACCACAGCCAATAAACGCAGCATCATTGCAAAATGACAAGTAACACCAATAACACGCTCGGAGGCATTGAAGGAGACAGGAAGCATCATGTTGGATTGTTTCCTTCAATGCCTCCGAGCGTGTTATTGGTGTTACTTGTCATTTTGCAAAATATGTCACTAACAAGTCAATTGTTCATGGCGGACAAGAGAGTTCCCTGACAGTTGTTACTAAGACCTTTTCAGGGGAGTGTTTTGCCACATGCGTGGGTGAGAGCAATGCGTCAAGGCAAAAACGGCCACAAGGCCAAGAATCCAATGGATTTATGCTGACCAGGTTGAACTGCCTGACCCAGGAGGCAGGTTGGCTCCCTGCAGTCTATACACTTCTAAGCCTAGGCATTCCACCTTGACATTGGTTCTTTCTCATTGATTGATTCATAAGGGCTGAAACGATGGCTCACTTTGCGTTGGCCATTCAATGCAAAGAGAACGTGCATGATTTCGATGCATTTGATGTTCTAGACAGGCAGAGCTGGGGAAAATGTAGCTTGTTTTCATTACCCCCGATGTATCCAGAGAAGAGAAGTGTTTTGTGTGCAAAATTTGGAGGTGACGTGCCCCAAACTTATGAGTCGCGCAGGCCCTGAGTTGCGGCCAGGGTATTTGTGTGACGTAAAAGCCGGGCTCCCAGAGAACCCGAAAAGTGAGCGGAATTTGAAGATGCCTAGAAAGAAGCAAGGCGTGCTCTGGACTCTGGACCTTTCAAAAACAAAAGCCGAGAAAGGACATGTTTTCTAAGGTAGGTCAACGATGCTAATTAAATCGTGAAGCCAGTAAGTGTTGAGAAAGGCTGACTTATCAAGATGTCTGTAAAAAGTGGAATGCCTGGAGCTAGGATGGGAACGTCTGAATATTGCCAAGTGTTGCTCAGGCCGTCAGTTCGCTCGTTCGTTTGTTCGTTCCCAGAAGGTTCATCTCAACTACGCCCTTTGCACATGTTTAAGCATGATGCAGCATCGAACACACCTTGTTCACATCTAGGAGTCATTCCATTTCACAGCTGCTGACTTCTCCTCTTGAGTTTTGCTCATTTTATCTCAAGCTGCTTTCCTCGCTTTGGTTGCTTCAACTTGCATGTCCCATGACACCCGACTCTTTTTCTCACGTTGTTTGATCTCTTCTCGCCTCTGAATTACATCGCATCTCGTCTCTTTCACCACAACTCAGAATCTTGTCCCATGTCAACATTCATGGCAGCAGTGTGAGCAAGTTTGTGAGCTCTAAGGCATCTAGATGGCTGAGGCCACATACGCGTGGGTGAGAAGTGCAGAAGATTTGCATTCTATTGGTGTTTCCTACCCACAAATGTGGACTGGACACAAAAAGCTGTACAGGAGGCCAAAGCAGATGTAAGAAGCATTTGCTGGAAAGGGAACTGTTGTGCTTGGTGCCAACTTGTTGCCTAAAAACAGACCGGCGAAACGATACGTTTTGTTTTGCCTTCTACTTCCCAAGCAAAGCACAAGGTTATTAGCTGCAAGGGGTCATTTAAGATATGTCTGTTGGTAGACGGAGGTGGCTACCCAAGTCTGGGTTCACGAAGTCCTAGAACAAGTCAAAGTCAAAGCGCGGCCGCTCACACAGCCTTTTGCGTAGACATGGCGTCGGTGACGCGCGCGGCCCTCCCTGATTCGAGGCGGCGTGGGTACACACAAGTCAAACCTCCATGAAACACGTTGCGTGGCACGCAACTCACATCGGTGAAAAGAGAGGCTTACAGTTCAAAAGAAAAGCGTGCAGGTGGCGCTAGGACATCTTGTCTCACCATTATGTAGTCGAGCTCGCTGCCGTGTCAGTGAGGTCACCATGTGTGCCTTGTGCCCAATGCACACCATCCATAGGGGCCGGGGGAGTGCATTCCAAGGAACTGCTGGGCACATGCCTTGCAGGGCTGTCTCACATAGACCAAAATGGCAGTGCGTTGTGCAACGCAGGCTCGACTTGCATGCCAACAGCCTCCCAAGCTTGCCAGAAAGACTGTTTTAAAGAGTTTCGCCACTTCAGCTTCTGGGCGAGCGTCTCGGTGTGGTCGTCCTTCAGCTTCTTCAAATCTTGGTGCAGGATCTGTACCTGTCTCCGAGCATTTTGAGCTTGGCGCTGAGCAAGGGCCCATTCATTTCGAAGATGTGCCACTTCCTCGGTCAAAGCCATCTTGTCCTTTCTCAGCTGCATCAGGCGCTCTTCTTCAAGTCCTGTCCTTGTTGTCTGGATGCTGCTATCCATTGTAGTTCGGTGTCCGGGATGTAGGTCCATTCCTGGTAGTTTGAGGGATGCATGAGAACGCCCTGTCCACCATGTGTTCCACCTACTTGTCAGGAGATTCATGCAGCGCCAATTTCCGCTTGTACAGCATGATGCGCTGCCTCCACTCCCTGTAGTCATTCACGCGGTTGTTGAACACAGGGATGTAGGTGTCCTTCATGGTCTCAATGGTGCCCCCAGCCATTGAAGAGGTTGTCGATGGTCCCGAGGCTGTAGGTCCATCCGTGTTGGGCGTGGAACTCCGCTGCCAATGTTGGTAGACGGAGGTGGCTACCCAAGTCTAGGTTCACGAAGTCCCAGAACAAGTCAAAGTCAAAGTGCGGCCGCTCACACGGCGTTTTGCGTAGACATGGCGTCGGTGACGCGCGCGGCCCTCCCTGATTCGAGGCGGCGCGGGTACACACAAGTCAAACCTCCATGAAACATGTTGTGTGGCACGCAACTCACGACGTCACTTAATCTATTCCGAGTAATCATTTCACGTGACTATTAACATGACGCTTATGATTTAATTATGGAAATCACACTGACACACAGCACACACACACACCCTCGCGCATGCGCACAAAGTCAATGCGTGTTTGCTAGCGGAAGATGGCTGGGGTGGAAACGGAAGATCAACTATTGAAAAAGCGGCTTGAGCATCCAGGCTGAATGTGTATGTGACTGCATGTGTCATGGCTTCAAGAAAATGTTGAAATGTGAGATGCATTGCAAGTCTTGGCAGTTATGGACACGTTCGAGGAAACTTGGGCAACTCTGAGCTGAGTCAGGAGAAAAACATACATATGCGTTCGCCAAATTGAACCTGTGACCTGTTGTAGGATCCTGGCCTGAAACAACCTCCTAAGCTTGTTAAGCAAAATAGAATGCAATTTTTTTCAGACGTACTCCACTTTTTTCCAGCGTGTGGTCCAAGCTTGTCTATGGAGACCAGAAGAGAACAGCAAATGCATCAAGATACCAAATATTTCCACCCCACAATCTACGTTGATCGTGCTCCAATGATCTCTTTTGAATGCAATTTGTGCAAATGGTTTTTTTTTACGCACGAACTATGTGCATTCGGAAGTGGACTTCCCAACAAATTTGTTTTTCATTTTCTAAAACCTTCACAGTATTGATTCGGAACCGTATCAACAAGATACTCAAATTCTAAGCGTATTGGCATGACAAAGCTGATTCTGCCTTGGAGGAGAGAACTGAAGGCTTCTCTGACTGAGTCTGCTCCTATGTTCGTTGGACGTTCTTGCTTCGCGGTGACAGCTGCTGATTCACTTTTTACTTCTGCAAGAGTTTGATCCTTTTCTCTTCCTTCAGTGGTCGCAAAGAAAACAATTCGGGGAATGTACAGTCACCTTTTGCAAAACCCTACTTTCAGTAATGCTCTGCCTGCTTCGCTAGCTTTCATCAATCTTCTTTTGAAGTGCAAAAACTCTGGGAATTAATCTACATACTTACATAACATTGTTCTTTCGCCTTTTGTACTTTGGATTTTGATTAGCCCCACCGGTTTGCATTCGGTTTCTTCTGAGAACAACCAAAAGCACGTCTTTGCCTCTGTGCTTCACCCCACTCTTCTTGTCTTTTCCACTGTCCAGACATTGGAGGTCCCAATCTCAATCCCCTGCAATCATGAATTCTCCCAAGCCCAGAACGTCTCTAGATTTGTGTTCATGTCTCCTCGGCTTGGAATCGCTGACTTTTGTTTTGCTCGACTCTGCCTTCTCAATAGCTCTTCCTGGAAGTGCCTCTTTGGAGCCATTGTTGGAGGATCGTTGATATCTTGGCAGAAAGACATGAAGAAGTAAGCTGCAGTTCACCAGTTGCTGCCAACGGTGTATGTTGCTTCTGGCTCAAGGCCAAAGTTGCTTAGAGATCCTTAAAGACTTGGAAGTTATGCCGGCGGGCCATTGGCATGGTGCCTACACGTCTTGTGACGGAGAGACAGTAGAGGCTCTAAAGAGGTTAAACGATTAAATAGTGGGAAGACACGACAATACGCTTTACTGTTTTGCAGCATTTTCTTGACACCAAATTCCACAGCTTCATTTTGAACTCCAAGGTTTGTCTTTTTAGGCTCAGCCTTGGCACAGCGGTGACCTCGAGCACCTGCTTCGCCAAACGTAGAGTTTACGCGAGTGACAGTGTGAGGCCCTTCTTTGATGACATCAAGGGTTGGGGCCAGGTGCAACTCCTTTCTGAAACAATCACATTTGGCAACTTGCTTTTGATATCGCAGGAACGCGAACTTGCTGAATATCATGGCACTCACGTTTGTTCCGGCTTTGATGAACAGTGGGCTCGGCACTCAGTACTCACGTACTAGAAGTTGAGATCTAGATTCCACAAAGTTTGTGTAGCAAAATGTATTTATTACACATACATATAAGTTATGTGCAACATCATATATTATATATATAATATTCAGAATGAAAGTCACGTTCTGCTGACTTTGTTGCTTTTGATCGTTTGTCTTGATCATGCTTGAACGTGTTATCCTGTGTTGAAGGGGCCCTGTACTGAGGGCCTCTGCCCTGAATTAGAGTCTTGCCATACCTGCGAGCCTGTGGCCCAGTCCTTCGGAAGGTCCTTCAGAAGCTTCAGCCTCAAGTCTCCCGCTAGATGTAACCAGGGAGTCTCAAGGTGAGAAACAGCTTGAAGCGCCGCTGACATTGGGCTTAAAACATGAACCACCTACCAACCGCTGATGAAACAGTCAAGCAAATCTCATACTGATGTTAAGAACATGCGGGAATAGCCAACACAAGTTTCTTTGCCAAAGAGAGAGAGAGAGAGAGAGGAAGAAGAGGGAAGAATGAAGTACCCAAAAAGATCAGAAAGGCAAGCAGACACCACCAACCAACGCCGCGCAAAGGAAACATGAACATGATCTCCAATTATGTGAAAAGCATCATGCAGAGTTGACAAGAATCCAACGATTCCTCCTTTGATAGAGAGTGAGAGAGAAAACACAGCCCAAGGCCGAGGGATTGCCTATTTGACTCATGGGGCCAGTGGTTTGATGCCGGAGGCACGAGTGGAAGACTTCCTGCCAAGCTGATTTCATTCGCCTTCCTTCGCACAGGATGCGCCCAGATTGAGTTTCGCCAGCGTGGCATCGCAGCATTGGACCCAGATTTTCCTCGCGCCGGCTTTTCTTAGTGGTACGACATACGCAGCATACGTAGCGGTTTGCCGATGTTTTGCTGAAAATTCTGAGGATTCCAACAATGAATGTGGCAAGCCTTGTGAAGGACGAAAGATGGAGTCTCGAGCCTTCCCAAAAGCAAGGTGCCGGCGGGTGCCGGTGCCGCATGTGCCGCATGCCCTTGCACGGGCCATGGCACCCACAGAGCCCTTACAGCTCCTTGTAGTCTCCTTTCTGCTTGCAATTGGTTGGACCATATTGCTGGTCGGAGGTGCGAGTTGAATGAAGTTGATTGCCAGTGGGTTGCTGCAGCCTCAGTACAAAGAGCAGTCATATACTGTATATACCCAGTTTTGGCAAACGACTTGGGTTCTTGGCAAACTTGATTTCAAGGAATGGTCCGCCTGGTCAGAATGTGGCACTCCAAATGACCAGTCCACCCGTAGACGTCTCAGTTTTGGATCTTGTGAAGGACTTTGACACGTCTCGAATTAATGAGGTTCACGCTCCATTGGGCAAAAGAACACCGGACAAGGCAGGGCAAAAGGCAGAAGGCGATGGCTGCCGGGCAGTGGCTGCGGTGGCTGTGTTTCTTCTTTTGTGCTTTGTTTTTTGCTTCGCATGCTTTTGGTATTTTTTTGAGTTACTAAGAGCTTTTTTGGTCTTCAGGTGCACCATGCGTTGGAGAGATGAAAGAGACACGACCCTGCAGCAGCTTGGCTCACCAAACTGATGCTGAACCTTGGAACAAAAACAGAACGTATCAAACATGCTAAAAAGGAAATCCAGCTGAGACTTACTCCAGTTGACACTCTTCACCTTTATGCCTGGAAATGGCGCAGGTCCTGGTCCAAGCCCGGAAGATTGTCAACTTAGTGAGTGGCACACCTGGAGTGAATGCAGCTCTCCGTGTGGTCAGCCTGCATGTTTGAGAGTGTTTGAGACCACGGCACTATTGAATCACTATTGCACATTACTTTTTTTGTCCGGAAGCAGCAGGTTATTTAATGTTTTTTTTTTTTTCATTTGTGATATTCGAGTGGCCGGATCGGCTCAGAAATTTTGTAGGAGCATTGTTGCTCCGGGCGTCCAACTCTGAGTGATGGGAAAGCCTCGTTGCCTGGTCATCGGCTCACAATTTAGTGGCACTTTCTGTGCTCGTGAGCTGAAAACGAAGTTCTATGTCACAGTGGTTGACGCCAAAGAGTACTTTGAGTACACGCCTGGTGTTCTGAGAGCGTTTGTGAAGCCGGCTCACCTTGACTCCCTGACTTTCACGTTGCAGCCAGTCTTGGAGCGGAAGATGGGCGTGAAGTACATTTGGGGTGAAGTCAAAGAGCTAAACGGAGAAAAGAAGTTTGCCACTATCAAGCCGATTTTCATCAACCACCTTGAGGAGATTGGCTTTGACTACTGCATCATTTGCTCAGGATGCAACTTTGGCCCGTTTAAGCCCATGGGCGAATCTTTGTGGTTTCCCACGGTCCATGAAGATGGTCGTGCTGTGAGCGACTGGAAGCATATTGACGAGCGGTTCATTGAGGGCCGTCGGCGTCATGTCCTGGAGGAGTATCACAAGTTGTCGGATCTTAACACCAAGAAGTCCACTGTTTTGGTGGTCGGTGCAGGCTTTATTGGGGTGGAGTGGGCCACGGAGCTGGAGCATTATTTCCCGGATTTGAAATTGACCATCATTGACTTCCTCCCTCGATGTTTAGGCCCCTTGCCTGACAGTGCAGCACAATACTGCTCCGAGTATATGACTGCCTGTGGCATCAAAGAATTTTACAATTGCAAATATGATCCGAAGAGCTCCGACTTTTGGAAGACCATAGAGCTGCCAAACGGTGCGGATGAGACTTATGTTTGCATTGGAGTGAAGGCATCGAACTATTTCATGCCAAAATGCACTTTGTCTGACAAAGGCCCAGGTGGCGGTGGTTGGATCCACTTCAGCAAGCACTTGCAAGTCACCAAGAAGCCATCCGAAGGCGGAGGTGTTTGGGCTGACGGCACTATTTTTGCCGTGGGGGACTGCAACTACGGATGTATTGGGGAGCCTCCGAACTGGGAGATGCCGCCTGTGCCAAAGATCTCATATCCGGGTGAAGAGCAAGCCTACCATGCATGCTTGAATGTCATGAAGCTCGCTGCAAACCAGAAGAATCTCGTCGCAACCTGGTGGCCTTGGGGTGCAGGCATGTTCTCTACAAGCTTGGGACCACATGATGCATGCTTTGTCATGGGAGCCAACCACAATAAGAATTCTGGCTACATGGTGAATTGGTGGGTCCCTGCCGCCTTGCAGAAGGAGATAATTGAGACCTCAAAGGTCAACGAATGTAAAGATGGATGGATCGGCATCCTGATTTGGCATTTTGTGCACCACACACCCATCAACCTATGGGGGCGTGGTCCTTGGTTTGTGTAATTCAAAGAACATAGCAGTACAGGCAGTACATAGAAATACCCTGACCTTCCAAGCAGTTTTCCAAGACCCGCTAGCTTCGACTCCGAGCCGCGAATCGGGAAGTAGTCTGAGTGATGACTTTCTTGCTTTCTGAAGTTGAAGCGTACTGCTTGCCAGGTGCAGGAGAACACTCCCGCTTTCGCAAGGTTATATCAGAGGCTCGGAGACTCCGACTCCAAAAGGTTCTGTTTCTTCCAGTTCGAAGTACATCGACGTCGCTTCAGAATTGTCCAATTGTCCAAGCTAAGCAGAGGCCAAACATGATGGCCGTCCGTGCCAAGCAGAGGGCCGAGCATCAGTGTCCCTGGTTTTTTCGATGTTGTGCGCACTTTTTCTGGCGTCCTTGTGGCATACCATCGCCCATGTCCTGCTCGGCGATCGGTTCAAAGTGTCCTGCGCGACCGTCGCAAGTCTAAAAGCAGCATTCGCTTTTTGCTACTTGCTAACCTCTTTGCCATGTCGTTTCATTGCACTTCAACGTATAGAGTATACAACATTCAATTGTGGGCTTGGCAAAATTTGCACATTGCATCCCACGGACCAATGAACTCAGATGCATTTAATGCATGTTCACACTTTTACTGGCATATATGGAAATGTACGCAACATGTTTGGGAAGAGATTTGTTCTTTCTTCCGTGATCCTGTACATTTGACGAAGCACATATCCTTTGATCATGATTGACTTCGACCCTTTTCCACCAGTCCGACTGTGTGCAATTACCGAAGTGTGCAATACATGTGATGAGTACATTCGACAGACTTCACATCCTCCAAAAGAGCAAGAACAAAAGGATTGGCCTCTATCCTTTGACTTCCCTCGCTTGCAGCTCTGCTTTTCTCTTGCTTGCCTGCAAGCTCGAGCATTATTTGCTCGGTTAAGTCCAACCTTGGGGTGCGGCCTGGGCTTCTCCGTGCAGCATGTTTTTTCGCCTGCAGAATCTTTATTGCTTTTACTGTACTCTTTATTGTTTTGAAGAAGTCCTAGGGGGAAGCTCCAGACTAGATCAGATACTTTCATTTTTTGGGGGTGATGTTGCGAGCAGCAGGTACTCGTAGCAAAATGGACAATCCAAATGTGGGATGTAGAGTTCAGTTTGGAACATTTTTTGTTGGTGGCAGCATTCTCGACGTTGACCGTGCGATAGAAAGAGCAAGGACGAACAATGTACAAGGTTGTTCCTTTCAGCTATCGCAACAGCAAGTTCCTGCCAGAAACATAGAGCTTTACTTTACTTGTTGTTTCAGTGAAAGGTAATTCCAGTGTTGCGGTGTTCCCCCTGCGAGCACTGGTGAGTGTTGGTTGGTGACCTGTGATGCTTCGCATTTTCTTGGAAAATGGAAAAGACCCACGTTCTTTCCGATGCAACAGCACTTCGTGATGGCCTCTTGGCTCTTGCTTGTTGGGGCTCGGAAGACCCCCGGTGCTGTGCCTTTTCGTAGTCTCGCTTTCTTTAGTGGTTCTTTCACGCTTATGCTGGGAATAGCCACAGCTTCTGTCGAAGCACTACAGCGGAAATGGGAAAAATCTGAGTGTTGGTTGGTTCTTGTGAGACGATATGTCTCGCAGAAAGAGACCAACATACAGGAAAGAGGCGAGACAACAGCAGGAGCAGAGAGAAGGAGGATGAGCACGATGGAAAGAAAAAGAAAGCGAAGAGACGACAAGACAAGAGAAGCAATGACTCTCAAGACTCAGATTCTCGACTGGTTTGTTTACTCCCACAAGCTTCTTGGCTCAATTCCGAAGTGGTGGTTCAAAACGGAGTTTGCCAAGAATAGCCTGTGGAATTGGAAACGAGCTGACTGTACAGCAGGGAACAAAATCAGACCTTTTGATGCCGTCGTGAAATCTAGGCTCCTCTACGGACTCCAAACACTAGAGATCCCTGACGCGCAATGTCGCGTCTTGAGTCATTCTATTTCAAATGTTTATATACATCAGATTCTTCGCATGGAGCCCACCTTTGTGAACAGAGCGAACACCAATAATGAAGTGCGCACAAAAGCCAATTTGGCAATTAGAACACGAAATTACCCGCATAGTTATCATAGTGCTGTGTGCAGAATAAGCGGTACCCTTATACTCGGCATATTTTGCATCAAGACCATAGCCTCCCCTTGAGGAATGTAAGTTTTGGCCAAATTCGGCCATTCCTTTTGAAGTCATGTTCCGTCGTGTGGGTAGGTCCAGAAAAAAAGTGGCTTTTGTTTGGGATTTTCTGCGCCCAGATAGTGAACTTTCCCAATCCAATGAACAGCTGACTTATATCCTAAACGCGGCTAGAAACTCTGAATTCTGATGATTTTGTGTTGAACAACAAGTTTTCACCAGGCTTGACCTGGACTTCGCTACTAACTAGATATGTAATGGCTTTGTGTGGTTTTAATTTGTGCCTACGGGTGTGACAGAATTTTTGTCTAAAGCTTTGAGTAAGTGCCGTTTAGTGAGCACACCTTTGGCACGAGAAAGAAAGAAAACTTGTGGGATTTGAACCACACGTTCTAAGGGGCGTATATTTTGTTGGACTGCATCAATTGGCATGATACATTGCCAGCAACCGCTTATAATTTATAATATATAATAGTTTAAATTTGTCATTATAGTACAGTTTTTAGTTCACACCGCAAAGGATACTTGCTTGATGGTTCTTCTGTTTGCATTTTAATTGATAAAGCGAGTTTTGGGTCACCTTATTCGCACTGGCCAAGGGAGTTATCCATGAGACCGACACCTGTGAATTGAGGCCCGGCACAAGAGTTGACCCCTCCAAAAGTCCAGTTCCTTTCCATTTCCAATTCTCTTTGCCTTTCTTCACTGACCTTCTCCAGGCCTTGTGATCGCATGGATTGCCAAATGAGCGAGTGGTCCGAGTGGTCGTGGATGAATCCCATGGAGGACTTCTGAACGGAAAACCTCAACTTGGCTGGCAAAGCGGTGCCCAACTTTGCCGCGATGCACTTGTTTGCGTCCCTTTTGTTCTTCTGTGCTGCTTTCTGCTGATACAGCTCCTCTGCGAGGACGATTCGGCCCATACAGATCAGTGGCCTCCCCCTGAGTCTAAGACTGCATGCAACAGCGACGCAATGTGTGAATATGACTTTCTTGCATCAGAGTGATGCAATTTGATGAGGAGGATGTAAATTTCAAGTGTGCCAGACTATTTGATCACTGGTGAGTTCTGCACATGAACAGGGTGGGCTTGATTGGGCTTTTGTAAAAGCCTCTCTATCCAATTCACGTTCCCGATTTGCTTGTCGACTTAGTGTGCAAGTCGGTGCTTTGGCGGTTGAGGTTCCGCAAGCGCACCGTCTTGGTTCCACCTGGAATTGGGGGAAGTGCTTGGCCCAGAAGTTTTGTTTTACTTAAAGACCTTTGTTGAGTGCTGCAGCCCCGAATTGGTTTGAGGCCCTTGTCCGGGTGGGTTGATTGAGACGAGGGGCAAAGCCAGGTCGAGCCAGAGTGAGATTGGCGCGCTGCTTTTGTAAGTAAAGTTTCAGCAAAAATCTAGTGGCCTTTTTGACCGCAAGGACGAGCACCCCTTGTGTGGTGGGTGTCTGATGCCCAGTTTTGAAGAATTGAAGAGACAGCTCTGTACTGAAACTGCAATTTGGGCTGGACTTTTGCACAACTTGCCAGGAGTGGGCTTTTTGGTCCAAGTGCGATCGAACATGTGGTGGTGGGCAAAAGACCAGGGAACGATCGGTAACCCCTGCAGATGCCTGGAACTGAGCCAGTTGTTGCTTGTGCTTGTTTGCTGGCGTTAAATGACTGTGGAGAAGAATTGCACTCAAGCAGCCGTATGCAAAGAGATGCACTGTCATCAATGACATTTTTGTGTATATATATATATATATTATAGCCGAATCGTTCCTAGCAAGAGACTCAAACTCGTTGGAATTTGGCAAACGCAGTCTGCCTTCCTTTGTGGGTTTGCATGTCGCCTTGATGGACCGATGGCTCTGAAGCTCCACGATGCATATGCTGTTCTTGGCCTCCAGCGCGGCGAGAAGGACCAAACCACGATTCGCAGCGCTTACCGGCACCAACTGTTGCAGGCAAGGCCTGCTTGCTTCTTGTAGAATGCTGCAACACTTTGAGTTGGGGATCGGAATCTGTGATCTCCAATGTTGCCTCAGTGTTTTATGCATTCCCCTGCCACAGTATCATGCAAGGCTCATCCAGACAAAGGTGGAGACCCGGAGGCTTCCTGCCAGTCTCTTCAATTCATGCCGAACAGAGGAATGCACTTTTGGAATTAGTTTTCAAGTAGATCTACATAGTGTGATCCGGTTTCCTTCAAATGTATTTAGTGTTGCTTTGAGAAGGTGTTCCGGCAAGTCCACTTGGCTGGAGACTTGCTTTTGTCAAAAGCTCCTCGCAAGGTCACTGCCTCAGGCCACGAAAATTGCTTGCAAAAAGTCTGCCAGATGTGCAAGCCCAGTTCGTTTGTTTCAAGCATTTTGTCATTTGTTTTGTGATTCTAGGCAAATGGTAGGCGGCCAAAGCCCAAGCCCAAGCTGGTTCAGCCAGCTCAACCAGGACAGATTGTACAGTAGCACACCTAGACCCATAGGCCGACGCAAACCAGTTTTGTTGCGGTGTTGAACTAGGAGCCACGATGAAGAAGTCGTTTGGAAAGACAAAGTCGCGAGCGTCACAGCTGACCAGTATTTTTCAGGCAAGCTTTGCAATGCACCTATACAACTCATTTGGCGGTTGGCTTTGCCAGGAGTGTGAGAATTTGGACACCTTGTTCACAAAGGCTGATGCCAAGAGCAGTGACGCTTGGGATTGCCTAAACCTTTTGCCGGGAGCTTTGCGAAAGGGTGGTTCTTCCATAGAATAATAGAAAGGGTTGCCGGGTTGCCATTATAAAGTACATTTGCTCCTTGAGATCTGCGAGAAGCAGACTCTGCACTTGTAGACTGCTGCTTGAGATCTGCTTGTATTTACCCCTGCGGATTGTTCCGCCGGCCCTTTTGGAGGG